AGTGTACACAGCTACCTGGTTAGCTTGTGACACAGACCAGAACGGAGGGGATACGTGTGTACAGTATGGTGATAATGAGTTTCAATACCTGCGCCGCGTTTTCTGTGAGTAGTGAGTTGACTACATCGAAACACTTAATCGTCTTGGAACGGATGCGATGTACACAGTAATGGGTTTTAGCATGGGCGAACCATAACCGGGTTTATTATAACAAATCAATTAACTGGATATGCAAAGCCATAGGGAGATCCTTTAGGTCGTATTTTGATTGCTTCATATTTAACATATACAGTTGATAACGTAAAGTTATGCTCCTTAAGAACTGGGATACCGTAGAAAATTATGAAACTAAAAAGAATCTAATAAAGGGCTCACCAAATATGTACTGTAAAAAATAGTAGAAATACGAATAATGATGAACGGACTCACAGAGAGGTTGTCCGTTTGGTTGATGAATCCTGCTCCGGAGCGAAGTTCTTCTCGCAGCGTATCGTCAAACCCTGGAACAAGCTGGCAAATTATATGATGAACTACGGCATTGAGAACGCCCTCGTAAAGATGCTGAACACATCTTAGGACACGTTGTTTCTCGAATGTCCTCAGGAACCGAAAGAAACTATTGACGTAATACTGAAAATTGGTTTCCGTAGCTCGCGTAAGCAGCATTCCATTTTAACCTTTTGGGGAGCTTCGAAAATTGTTTACAAACGTTCGATCACCAACCGAGGTGACGTCATCAGTGTTTGTGAATTGGCAGTGTTCTGCTTGTAATCGTTTGTTTATATATGGGTTCTTCTCCGCTGACTATATTCGTCCCCTATTCTCACTCTGTTCCACTCGGTTCGCCGTTGAACATGTGTGAGGGGTTGAGGGTGAGAGGTAAGGATGTTGTCCTTCCGTCCCGATTGCGTTTTCCGTCCGTTCTTAGATCACGGCTTGACCGTTTTGGTTGCGTCATTTGATCCTTGAGTTGCATTAGCGTGTACACGCGATCCAGTTCTATGTGCTTGTTTATTGAAGTAGAGCAAACGTATATCATTCTCAATAACACATTCCATGGCGTCAAATTCACAATGGGGACCGAGAGGGAGAAACAACTGGCATTTCTGGACATTTCGATCATCAGAACGCCATCAGGAAAACTTGAGCGTGTACACGCTAATGCAACTCAAGGATCAAATAACGCAACAAAAGCGGTCAAGCCGTGATCTAAGAACGGACGGAAGGACAACATCCTTCCCACTCACCCTCAACCCCTCGCACATGTTCAACGGCGAACCGAGTGGAACACAGTGAGAACAGGGGACGAAAATAGTCGGCGGAGAAGAACCCATATATAAACAAACGATTAAAAGCAGAACACTGCCAATTCACAAACACGGATGACGTCACCTCGGCTCGTGATAGAGCGTTTGCAAAAAAACTGTTCAGATCGGCGAACAAGTGAAATGGAACTGCATGAAACTGGTCACGCTAGTTGCCATACATTCGGTCAACCTGCAACACTATCTTATACTTTAATCCCTTTTCTTTTCAAGGCACCCATTCTCATCCACATCCCACTCTCTGAGAACAAGTAATCTTCGATTCCCACAGTTCTTTCCCTTTATGGATCCCTTGCGTGGGAGGGATGTGAGTTGTTGCACTTTCCCTGAAACTCTCTAATATCGTTCGGTTGCAGTGGAAAAGGTATTTCATATACAGATAATAAAAATAGAACGGACTCACAAAGTAAGTGTCTAGTTGTTTCCTGGGTCCTGTTTTTCGGGTGTGTGGCTGCGATTAATAATATGCAGTGGAGCTGAAGGGGATGCTTGCGATAGTTAACGGATTGCTTGACGATAACTGATAATGTACGCCTAATGCTTCATTAACACTCGGAGAACACGTGCGTAGTCACGAACAAAGATGATATTTGTGTTGTAAGCAATTACGCGTAGTGAAACAAGTTGTACAATGGTGTCATAGAGAAGTAAATAGAATAGTTAAACAAAACATATTTACCCATGGGCCTGTCAGCAGTGTAATTCGTTTGCAGGTCCAACTCTGGAAAAACATGGAACACAAACGGCTGCCAAAGCACTGTACGGGCCTCACATGACGCAATAAACTGGACTCCATTTGGCTTTGGCGCAGGTCCTGTGTCCTGCCCTGTCCCTTGTCTCCTGAAATATTCTGTCTTTCAAAAGAAATGCATGTTGAATTGTTGAAATCCGAGGAAACTCGCCGACAGCACACAAATCAGGACGCTCGCTTGGTGAGAGCCACAAATCATTCTGTGAGAACTGAACTAAACGGAATTCAGCTCCGATGAAAGACATTCGGATTTTCGTACCCATTTCGGCGACGAAATCGACTTCAAGCAATCAAAGCCCTGGGTTGGCCAGTCGAGCAATTGTTGTTGCAAATACGCCCACAACACGACTGAGGCTATCAGTGCAAGATTCAGTATTGAAAGGATGGTCTCCGGCTCCCTCAGAAGATGGAGCGATGTACGATTGAAGCGTTAAGGACATCAGAATTATGAATGATAACATCAAATGGGATGTAAAATTGATTCAGAAATACCCCCCCCTGTAAAGCAAAAAGACTTGACTCTACCTCGGGTCTTACGCCCAATGACACCCCAACAAGAAGCGGCCCGAGCAAAATAAGGCTCAGGTCCCCTGATGTCGCTGTCTGGTATACAAATACCTGCGGCCTACGGGGAAAATGGAGGAGCTAAAGACCAGGTCAGCAGAAGCAGATGTCATTGCTGACACTGAGACTTGGCTCAAGAGTGAATATATGATCCTGGGTTCACGGAATTACACCTAATATAGGCAGGATAGAGTCAACGGGATGCAAGGTGGTAGAGTCCTCGTAGCTGTGCGGACTACCTGTCATCAATGGGAATGTTCACTGCAGTTGGCTACTTCCGATATTCAGGTTACTGCTTGCCACCAAGGGGTTGAGTCAGGACCTATAGGCATAGTTTGTATTTATAAGGCACCAAATTTAACGGTGGCTGAGGATAATAAACCGATGCGTACCCTACATGAGGTGCTTTGAATGGCCCATACATTCCTCATCGTCGGAGATCTAAACCTTTCTGAAATAGTTTGGGAAGAAGAACGAGCTCCTTGAGGAACTGCAGGATGGGTGCTACTGGAATGGATCTATTCACATGCGCTTTTGCAGTCTGTAAGAGACCAGGTTTCGTTTCAAACAGAGGCCCTCAACCCTTGAGCAAAGTTAGATGTCGTTAGTCTCACAATGGAGGTCCCTATAGGCAAAAGTGATCACGCGGTCCTTCAGTTAAAATTACTGGTGCAGCACACTAATCCAGGGATCAAAATGGTCCGGTTGTATAGGGGTGTAAAAGAACGGAGTATTTAAGTGGCAGCGTTAGGCTTAAGCTTGCAACCGTCAACAGCTGAGCCCACCATTGAAGAGAGATGGACTGCACCCCTGAGGCCCAGGCGACTCAGACAACGGCCATCATAGTGGAAACCACGTTTAGACAGGGCTCTGGCCACAAGGAGTCGAAAGTGGGCACTTTGCAAAAGGCTCAATTTGTATCAGGCATGTTGTAGCTACAAGGCAGCAATAAATCATGCTCATGCTATGCAACGAAGGGCCAGGTACGACTATCAAATCAAGTCAAGTAAGTAGTAGCTTTATCAACCCGGATAGGTGAATCTTTGGCATATACACCATATTTGTGGATTCAAATTGACAAAATTATTACATAATGAAACTGAAAGCAGTAGACTGTGTTTATCAATGAAGCAAGGACTTGTGCAATTCTGTGGAAACATTCTCCTTGTCAATAAGTGGGCGTGCTAGATATGGCAGAACAGAATAAAGATAAGTAGAGGTAAGTGTGAATAAAAGTTTAAATCTTGAGCGTATGGATGATTTAAATAGAGCTTTTGAAGATTCGTTGTGTAATGAGTGGTGAGTGTCTGAGAGTATTTTGGCAGTGAAACTTCCGCATGCGGGTAGGTTTCTCTCTATGATAGCATCCGCGAATTTATCCCAGACAATGTTACTACATTTAGATGTGTGTTTCAGAGATCTCGCCAATAAATTAGTCTTTCTTCAACATACCGGGAAAAACCACTGGAGAGCAATACAACTAGCGGGGTAGCACGCATGTATTCACAAAACTAACAATCAGCTTGTGAGAAACAGAAATTAGCCTCGATCGGAGTGAGAAACATGAAAGCCTTCTAACTTTACCGAACTTATTTTGAACATTCAGTGACCATGATAAATTGTGTGATAACTTGATGCCAAGGTATTTTATTACGATTGATTTTGGTATGGGTTGTTGATTGGCAGAGAGGGTGGGGAACCTATCTGTGAGGGCTGAATATGGCACATCGGCCAAAAGGGAAAACACAACATCCTGACATTTAGAGGCATTCAATGAGAGGGTACGGGACAAGGACCAACTAATGAAGCCATTTAGGTTACTTTAAATTTCTGAAGCCTTTTCAGGGGTGGACGCCTTGCAACCCTGTGAGAACCGAATTAAACTGAACTGGTGCTACAGGGCCTGACCTTGACCGCGCGAGGTTGAAAATCTGCCGTGGATCGATAAGTTCGCTTTTTTCGAAGTTTATATATGTATTTTTCCGTACATCATTGCATATATCCTCAATTTTCACCATCCTAAACTAACACTGTTCCACCTTATTCCACTGCGGTTTCTATTTTACTGGTACCACTACTCTTTCACCATGTATTCTGAGCTCTCTGAGTCCTCCGACGAGGACACTTTACCCATGCGGGAAATTCCCATGCAACATGAGGTGTCTGAAACCAGCGACTGGGCTAGCACTCAAATAGCGCTAGAAACGGCTCTAGTCGCTCAAGGATCGGTAATACACAAACTGCGTGGGAAATTCGCGGCACCAGATAACGACATAAGTCTCCCGTCAGCGTTATTAAAGGATGACTGCCCAGCATGTGCTGCCGCAGGCCAGGCGATCACACTATCGAAACAACAGATATTCGACACTGCAGCCGAACTAGAAGCAGAGACCATTAGCGCCAAACGAATTATAATTTAAATTAGCTTCCCCAAGTTCAAGTCTCCGATTCAGGCAACCAAAACCCTCTTGAAAAGCCTTACAGCTCCATCCCTACTCAAACCAATCGGAGCATTGTGGCTGATGTCTAAATCTAAGAAGACAAAGGTGGGCATCCTTATCACCTTCAACTAGGAATCAGTGGTAGCAGACGCTCTCGCCCAAACCGAGACCCTCAAAAGGGCNGCCACTGCACACCCGAACTCAGCGGAAGGAAGCCCTCAAAAGCAGCAATGGTGCCAGCGATCCGAAACTCCGCTGTCTGCCAGTATCCCCCCTCTCGCGAATAGACCACCAAGCGACGACAACCTTCTCACCACCCAAGGCACGACAATCCCCCAGGGCCTCAATCACATCTGCAGCGCAACCTAAACAGCCGCCTACAGCTTCCACATCGTGGTCCTTACACCTCCGCTACGATTAGGACCAACCCCAAGAAGCCCCCTAATTTCAAGGAAAGGTTTACTCGGCAAAACTCCTAGTACCACTCTTCCCAACCAGGTCACTAGCACCACAATCCCCCTTATCCGAGACGCTAATCTCAGTGGACAACAAGGATATCTCGCAATTTGCCGTAGCAGATCGCAAAACGTCTATTTTCTCCCCGCGTCTCATCCTACTCGTCCTCCCGACCTCTTCAACAGGTCGGGGCAATCATGCCGCAGAATGTTCCACAATCCAGACCATGTCCACAGCTCAACTATTACAAACCAGATACCCAAATTAGAGCCACTCTCAAAGATCCCTTCTCTAATCCTGTTACTAATGAACGCTCCGGTGAGCGCGCTCTGAAGTTTATTTACACTAACTGTCTCAACATCTCGAAAAACACTAGAAGTCGAACAGTTAGTGGCCAATAAGAAACCCCATCTCTTAGCCCTCACAGAAACGTGGTTGACCCCGGAAAACAGCGATGACGAAATATCCTTTACAGGGTACTCATTGATCCAAAGAGACTCAATGAGAGGTCGAGTAGGTAGTGTGATAATCTACACGAGTGACCACCTCTTCCAAGCGATCACTCTATCATTCCCTCTCATTGCCTTCATAGATTGGCGTTGGGTTTAAATTCCCCTGTGCCGCTTTGAGACACTGGTGCTAGGAGTAGTCTACCGCTCACCCTCCTGTGGCGAGCTGAAATCACAACTCCTGATAGAACAACTAAAAAGCTTAAGATCTATGCGTCTCATTGCGCATCTTCTGATAACTGGAGACTTCAACGCTCCGGTAATAGATTAGCGCAGACTTCACGCCCCAGATAACACATTTGGAAGGCTGTTAGTCAACCTGGTCACAGAGCTGTCCTGGTCTTAGCACGTTAAAAGCCCAACGAGATACAGAAACGGATAAGCCGCCTCATTGCTAGACCTTGTCATAAAAGGTGATAGTCACCTCAGAGACACAATCCAACAGCATTGCCCTTTGGGCAAGAGTGATCATATCGTGT